ATGATGTTAAGTCCGCTATTAAGTACGGTAGGGATGAGATTTCATTAGACATTGTGGTGAATGGGTTAAGAAGTAAGGAATTAGACCTGAAGCATGCTAGGGGTAGTGCTAGTCAGTCCAGGGACTCCGGTGAGGCTATGTTTGTTAGGGGTAGATCTAAGGGTAGGTCTAAGAACTCTAAGCAAAATAGTCAGGGTAAGAACACTAGTCAGCCTGGGAGGAAGAGGAGCAAATCTAGGAAGAGAGTGTGTTACAATTGTGGTAACACTGGCCATTTCATTAAGGATTGCCCCCACCCTAAGAAGACCGAGCATGCTAGTGTAGCTGTTGATAAATGTGACCTTGGTGATATTTTGATGGTTTGTGACCATGTTAATTCTGTGAGAAATTCCCTGTCTGAGCATGAATGGTTGATTGACTCTGGTTGTACCTATCACATGTCCCCCTTTAGAGATTTGTTTTCTACTTATGAATTATGTGATAGTGGCTACGTTTCCTTAGCTGATAATAAGAGATGCAATGTGCTTGGTGTTGGTGATATATGTCTGAAATTTTCTTGTGGCTCTGTGTTTACCATTAAGAATGTGAGGCATGTCCCTGATTTGTGTCATAACTTGTTATCTGTTGCTGCTTTGGAGAGTAGTGGGTTGCAGGGAAAATGGGGGAATGGTTCTATGAAAATCCTGAAAAACTCGCTTGTTTTGTTTAAAGCTGAGAAGGTGAATAACCTTTATGTGTGTCATGCTAAACCTTTTGCTGAGTCTGTGAATGTTGTATGTTCTGATAAGACCTCTTTGTGGCATAATAGGCTAGGACATATGAGCAATAAGGGTTTAGATGTCATGCGTAGGGCTGGTTATTTTGGTAAGGACTCTGTGACTTCTGTGCCTTTCTGTGAATCATGTGTGTTAGGCAAGCAGCATAGAGTCAGCTTCCCTCCTTCCTCTTACCCTAATCTGTCTAAGTGTTCGTCTGTGCTTGAATATGTTCATGCCGATGTTTGGGGTCCTGCCAGTGTTCCTACCCACGGGGGTAGGAAATATTTCCTTTCTATCATTGATGATTTCTCTAGGAAGGTGTGGGTTTGCCTGTTAGAACACAAGTCTGATGTGTTTGTGAGGTTTAGGGAGTGGAAAACCCTAGTTGAAAACCAAACTGGCAGGAAGGTTAAAACCCTTAGGACTGATAACGGGTTAGAGTTCTGTAATAAGGAGATGGATAAGCTGTGTGTGGATTGTGGGATAAAAAGGCACAAAACTGTGCCTTATACTCCCCAACAGAATGGGATAGCAGAGAGAATGAATAGGTCTCTATTGGATAAGGTTAGAAGCATGTTAGCTACCTCTGGTTTGTCTAAGAAATTCTGGGGTGAAGCAGTCACTACTGCTGCCTATTTGGTTAATAGGTCCCCGTCTGTCCCTCTTGGTGGTAAGTGTCCTGAAACCGTCTTTACCGGTAAGCCTCTTGATCTGTCTAACCTTCGGGTGTTTGGTTGTGCTGCGTATGCACATCAACAGGGTGACAAGTTGGATCCTAGGTCTAAGAAGTGTGTCTTCCTAGGTTATCCAGAGGGGGTAAAGGGTTACAGGTTATGGGATAGGAACCAGGTAGGCTTTAAAGTGGTCCTTAGCAGAAATGTGGTGTTTAATGAAACTGATTTTCCTTGCTTGACCGAGTCTGTTTCTAATCCTGAGTCTAGGTCTGATAGTACTCCTAGTGAGGTGGAGTCTGTCCCTGTTGCTGCTAGTCCTTTATCTGTTGATCCTGTTATTACTGATGATATTGTTATGCATGATTCTGATTCCTCTGAGCATGATAGTCCCACCACCTCGAGTGAGGTGGAGCATTTGCATGATACTGAGCATGATTTGCATGATATGGGTGCTGAATCTGATTTTCATGATAACAATAATTTGCATGAGTTGCATGTGGAGCCTAGTAGTGATAATTTGCATGATTATCAACTTGCTAGAGATAGGAGTAGAAGGGCTATCAGGAGAACTGCTGATAGTATGCCTGATTATGCTTTCATTGTGCATGATACTTCTATGTTTGCTTTTTCTGTGTTTGAATCCCTAGAACTGAATGAACCCAAGACCTACCGTGAAGCCTTAGGTTCCAAAGAGTCTCAGAAATGGATTAGTGCCATGAAAAGTGAGATGGACTCTTTGAGAGTGAACCAGACTTGGACCCTTGTACCTAGACCCCCCAACTGTTCGGTAGTTGAGTGTAAGTGGTTGTTTAAGGTTAAGGAAGAACCTAGTGATGTTAGGTTTAAGGCTAGGTTGGTTGCAAAGGGGTTTACTCAAAAAGAGGGGGTAGATTATGCAGAAATCTTTGCTCCTGTTGTTAAATTCACCACTATTCGTATGATGCTTGCTTTAGTTGCTCACCATGACTGGGAAATGAAACAGATGGATGTAACTACTGCATTTTTGCATGGTGAATTGGACAAAACAATTTATATGACCCAGCCTGAGGGCTTTGTGGATCCCAAGAGAAGTGAGCATGTCTGTTTGCTTAGGAAGGCATTGTATGGCCTGAAGCAATCCCCTAGGCAGTGGAACATCAAATTTGATAAATGCATGATATATCTTTGAAGTTCCAAAAATCTGTTTGTGATCATTGCCTGTATTTCAAGAATACTTCCTCTGTGCCTGTATTTTTGTTACTCTATGTGGATGACATGCTAATAATTAGTCCTTCTCTGAATGCTATTAAAGATGTGCAAAAATGTCTCTGGGCGAATTTTGCCATGAAAGACCTAGATGATGCCAAGAGGATCCTAGGCATAAACATTGTTAGGGATAGGAGTAAGCGTACTCTTACTTTGAATCAGATTTCTTACATAGAAAAAGTTTTGAGTAAATTCAATATGTTGTCTGCTTCTCCTGTTAATGTCCCTATGACATCTCACTTTGTGTTAAGTAAGGACCAGTCTCCCAAGACTGCTCCTGAAATTGAGAAAATGAAATCTGTGCCTTATTCCAGCGCAATAGGGTCGGTGATGTATCTTATGGTTAGCACTAGACCTGATATTGCATATGCGGTTAGTTGCTTGAGTAGATATATGTCCAACCCTGACTTGCCCCATTGGAATGCTCTTAAGTGGTTGCTTAGATATCTGATTTCTACTGTGAAGCATGGATTAATTTTCTCTAAATGTGCTAGTGGTATTGAATTGATTGGTTATGTTGATTCTAACTATGCAAATGATAGAGATAACAGGAAGTCGACCACTTCTTATGTTTTTACTTTGTGTGGCTCTTGCATTAGTTGGAAGTCTCAACTACAGCCTATTGTGGCCCTTTCTACCACTGAGTCCGAGTATGTTGCAGCCACAGAAGCGTTTAAGGAAGCCATCTGGCTCAAACGCCTTGTCTCCGAAATTGGGTTTCTCAAAAAGGGAGTTACCATTTTCTCGGATAGCCAATCGGCTATCCAACTTTGCAAAAATCCTGTATTTCATGATAGAACTAAGCATATTGATGTTAGGTTCCATTTCATACGTGATATTGTTGATGCAGGTGGAGTCAAGCTATGCAAGATCCCGTCCGAGTTTAACCCCGCGGATATGGGTACCAAGTGTCTTTCTGCTGAGAAACACTTGTCCTGTAAACGCGTGTTAAACTTTGACTGTGGATAATTGTGGGTTGCCTAATAAAGTGTTTGCCCGTTGTGTCTGTTGATATTCCGGGTGACCCGGCGATGATGAGTCTTGTCACAACCTTGTATTGTTACTCTACACCACCTAGGACCAATAAGGTGGAGAATGTTGGAGGTATTGGTCCTACCAAGGACTCCCTTCCACTTTATTTGCTGAGGCTTGCACCCTATTGTTTTACTCCCACTTTGGTATCTCTACCTTGGTATTTTATCTGATCAATAAAGTATACCTATTTGAGGGTTGACTTTCCTACTGGCTGGCCCCCTTTGTGTTCTGTCCGCTGCATCACTTTGTCTTGGCCTATACATGTGACTCTCCTTTGTATTGGTAACATGTGATTGTCTTTTGTCTAGCTTCACCCGTGAACTCCCTTGGCAGCCTATTTGAAGCCTTGCTTCTTTCCTTGTTGAAGCAGCCTGCGAGAATAGCCCTTCCAGAGAGCAGTGCTCTCCTTCTCTTTCCCTTTGTGTGAGAACTGAGAGGGACTTAGTGGTTGAGATAAAAACTTAGAGTTGTGCAAAGCCTCCCCTAAAGTGGTGTGTGAGAGTGTGTAGAAAGACCTGAGCCGGAGACGGAAGTATACGATCCTTACAGTCACATATGATGTGGCGCTCTTTCATATACAATTGGTCATCACTTTTGTACTTGGTTTTGTATACTCATTTGTAGTACATGAGTTTTTCTCATGAGTTTTGCTAAAGGTACACAAAATGTGTACACATGTCTGTCCTTCATAGACAAGTTATCTGTCACAGACAACTTATTGTATACAAAATGTACAATTTGTGTGAAGGACAGACATGTGTACACAAAATGTGTAAACATTTTTCTTTTCTCATAGGAGCAAGTCTTGAAGAGACCATGTCCCATTCAAGTCGGCTTCTTCATAATTTCCGAACTCGACCTCCTAGGTAATAGCTGCCATAAAAGCACGATGTTACACATAAAAGGATACTACAATATATACTACTTGTACGTACTAATTATGGAAATATATATTACAAATTTTTCTTTCCTAGGATATATTTTAGCTACATTGTACTCCGTATTAGTTTTCGGTAATCATATACACTATTTGGAAGAGACTATTTGACCATTTTCTCTTTATTTTTTTCTTTAGAATTAGATTATGAAATTCTATAATGAGATGAATTCATCAATATTTAAAAAATAATAATTAATATAATTTTTTAAAGAAAAATAAATGTCAAATACGGAGTAGAATACATGAATACTGTACAAATTTCAATATTACGGCTGATAAGATGTGGAGGATTGTGTTATTTATGCATTTTAGTGGTTTTTTTTATAAATTTAAAGGTGTAATGGAGGTGTATTTCGGCATATTTGACCATGGAGTCTACTAGCCAAAAAGCAGAGTAGAAAACGAAGAAAAAAACATTTCGCAAAGGAAGGGATAACTTGAAGCACTGGCGATTCCATTCCATGCCAATATTATTATTTTTCAGTTTTAAACATGTTTCTCACTACTGCTTCAAGAGCCAAACCGCTGGAAAGAGTTTGAGTTTTCAAATGATGAACTTTAACAGAGGATAACTATTATGGGAGCTCAGAAGAGCATTCATGCCGGCAAAGGTCCGTCTTTTTTTCTTCCCCATGGTATTCTGGTAGTCTAAGCTTGTACTTGTCTCCATTAATGGTCTATGCATATTATTATTGCTATTCTTGTGGTTGTTGCTGTTATTTCACGCATGCTTTTCTTATTGTGGCAACAGCCAAGATTGACGTGAATGTGGATTTCACACACAAACTATGTGCTGGCTTAATGCTTCATTCTTTCAGGTGCGTAGGGTAGAATTACCATTTCTGGGTTTTGTTTATTTCTTCATTCTGATTCTTAAGCTGTATTTGCACTAACTGTTATAATTGTCATGGTTGTTGTTGTTGTTCTATGCAACAGGAATTCCGGGAATCCACTAGAACTAGTCATAGGAAGGTACTGTTATTGCGATCTTTTTGTTTATGTTTTCTTCTGAATCAAATTGGCTTTTCCAATAATGTTTCGCAAAAAAATCTTTCTTTTGTGTAGCCTTTGCATAAAACATCCAAACTTATTTGGCAAGAGCGAGAAGCTTGATGTTCTGTGTGATAAAGGACTCTATGATTCTAATATCAGAATAGCTTACAGGAAGCCGCGACCTGAATGGCTTTCCCAACCATCCTTTATAGTTCAGGTTTGCATCTTTTTGTTATCCGTTCTCTTGGAAAATAGAGAAATTGATATACAATTGAATCAGTATCTTATAATCTAATCCCTGAAATTAATAAATTTGACCTGACTTTTATTGTTCACTCAGCATTTAGTCTCTCCAGAGATTGGGGTCCATGGAATTCCTGTGGACAACTTCTCTCGTTCCGAAAGCGGTGGAGTGAACTTATGTCGATTTTCTGCTGCTTTAGATTTGAGTGAGCCTGCAAGTTCCAACTGGAGCAGCAAAACTAGTATCAGGTTTGAGGTCAGTGTCTGCATTGTATTTTTACATATTAAGTTTCAAGATCATATGTGCCTTAATTACTAATTTTAACTTTAACTTACAGCATGTTCGTCCAGTAGGCGATGATGGCCGATCAATAAGCAGAGATTTTCAAGGGTATCCAGTCACTTGCAGGTAAAAGAAGTTGTGTGTGGACTGTGGTTATGAGTCTCTTTGATTTAGCCTCATGTGTCTTAATCCTTGTTCGCAGTGGTGGATGTAATGATAGAATGGTGGTGCTAAAACAAGAATCCAGGTTCGCCAAGGCAAATGATCAAAGTTTAACAGAAGTAATGTGACTTTATATATTGTGTCTATGTTCTCGTAATTTAATTGCAATTCGAGTGCACAACATTTTATAAATTTTGGGGTTTTCCCTATAATATTATTAAAACAAAGTTCATGGGCAAAAATATGACTTTATAGTCACTACAGTCATGGTGAAAATTAGTCACTGTATAGTGAAATGGAACATGGCCATATTTAAAGCTCTGTAAAAGTTACATTTTTGTCTATTTTTTAATCATATATTTTTCACCATTTCATAAATATTCCTAAATTCCCCTTTCCCTTTCCCAGTTTAGCCTGCAAATAGAGCAAGGGATTCCCATTCTTTCGCAGTGGCTGATCTTCAACCGTTTCAAGTTTGTTGCATCAAAGGGAGTAAAATTTGGGCCAGCATTTCTCTTGACAAGGTTGGTAGATAATAACTTTCATGACTAGTAGTGCACTAAAAGGGACCAATGTTTACTATTATTTGTCACATTGAAGGAAGATATACAACTATTAACTGTATCTGCTAGGATATTCTTCATTTTGGGTAAATTTTCTAATTATGGCTTTATAGAACATCGTTGCATTCTAAGAGATTATGACTCTTATCATCTGATAGACTTAAAGGTGGATCTATCGTGGGGGACATAGCTCCTTACCAAGCTTTTTCAATTGGAGGAGTTGATAGTGTGAGAGGTTACGGGGAAGGAGCTATTGGATCCGGTAGATCATGCCTGGTTTCTAAGAGTGAAGTGACATTTCCTTTGGTATGTGTTCTTTCAATTGAATGGGGTTTAAGCTAAGGTGGGGAGGATATATTACTGAATTTGACATTTTGGTGGATTTTTCATGTTGTTTGTTCTTTTGGTGCAACAGTAAAACCAAGGGGAATGAGGAATTGGAGTATTAATTCATTCTATTGTCTATTGAATAATTTTCGTGTTTGCATGCAGAGGGAAATGCTAGATGGTGTGGTTTTCTTGGATTGTGGAACTGATATGGGCTCTGGTCGTCATGTTCCTGGTTAGTTACATTACACATCACAGGAAATGACCATTATAATAGATTAAACTAATGTCTCGTTTTATGTTTCAAATCCATGTTTGATTGAAACTTCCGATCCCAAGACTTCAATAAATCATGAATTTTGTATATTTTTTTATTTTTAAGATTATTTTTCATTTTTCCAATGAAATCTTTATTGATTTTAATAATGATTATTGAAGATATGTGTATCAGTAACTAACATAAAGATAGGTAAGAACACGAAAAAAAGAGGCCAAATTATGATTAGTTGTTTTGGAGTGTAAGATGGGCAGTCTCAATAATTCAGAGGGAATCTTCCTTTGAACTGAAGAGCCCAAGCTGATATTTTGTTACTAATTAATGTTTATAGGATATCCTACTTTAAGACATGGCAAACCGGGGTGTGGAGTTGGCATTGGTTATGGCTTTCGTTTAAAATCTCAGTTAGGCCATTTTCAGTTGGACTGCGCTGTCAATGCATTTCGACAGAGAACTCTCTACTTTGGCTTCAGTAGTGTTACCTCATAACTTGGCCGCACAGCGCTTTCCAGGTCATATTTGAAAGTTAACTGTAAAAGCTTGGATTTGCACTGGGTAACCTGAAGGATGGACATCATCTAGTTTTTTTAATGAATACTAATATACTGATTATACTCCAAGAGCTCATGGACATTTGTATACTCCAAGAAGAGTCCACCTTTCTTGTCCCCACATACATGGACTGCACATTTATATCCACTTCATTTGTAATTTGTATACTCCCAGAAGAGTCCACTTTCTTGTCCCCTCATACACGGACTGCAAACATTTTATCCGCTTTGGCCTGGTTTATATCAGGTCAGGGAGATCACTGTCAAAATGAAATGAAACTTTTGTGCATTTTGATTTAGATAAAACTTTTTTATGCGTTTTGGTTGAGGTTTGCTAGGTATATCATGTTTTCAGTGTGTTTTAATAACTTGGTTTGTTTCAATTTTTATGTGATCTAATGTTTTTCATGAAACTGTTATCACTGACCAAACCCAAACCAAATTACATATATTCCGATTTTAGTTTGACTCGGTTTAGCAACACTGAACTGGTGTTCACCCCAACAAAAGAGTAGCATTCTCCTAAGAATAAAAAATATATTGCAACTTGAATAAATAAATCAACTAATCTTAGTTTTAAAGAAATTGTATAGATTAAAGATTGAACCATTTTTACAAATTTACATTGAGGAAGTTACATAATAACACTCTGAGTTGATCTAATTAGCCTAAGATATCTAATTCATACATATGATCAAATATAGCCACACTAAACACCAGGTGGCTGTATTTACACACTAGAGCGCCCCACTTGGATGGGATATTGACATATTAAAAAACAATGAAAAAATGCTAATCTTGGGAAACAAACGTTGTGGCCATTGCACCATTTCTGTTCCATGCAGTTTTTTCATCCATGGGCTTCTCTGTAGTAGCTCGACTGCCTTGTTTTGTTCTTTGATCATCATGATTTTTCCCTGGTAAAGTGAGGACACGTGAAAGATCTGTGTGATAGGACTAAAAGTGGCCAAAATGAAGGTACAGCTGAATTTGCTGAAATTATTTAAAACTATGTTCTCAGTCTCCCAGTGCTCCTTTTAAATGTTCAAGTAAGGTTTTCAAGGAAAATATAACAGGGGTAGCGAATAATAAGAAAGAGAAGATGAAGAAGTAGAAAAAATAAGAGGGGCAATGAAAAGTAAGGGTGTAAGGATAAGACTTGCCAAATTAGGTAATTGAGCCATTAATACAAAAACATTTCAAAAGGAAATACAAAGCAATAAAATAAAAGCAGAGGGTGTATATACAATATTTTTAATTAATAAAGAACTACGGAGTATATGAACACAAAGCTACAATGGGCATCTTAAACAAATTCAGCAAAAAAAGTACCTTCAGCCATACTTTTTTTCATTATTAACAAATTCAGTGCATGAAAGAAAGGTCATTTCTTTCATTGTTTATACTATTTGGTAGTTGATGTTCAGTAAAAAATCTGGTTGATACGAAATTAAGAATGGTAAGCTAAAACACAAGGCTACCAAACACACACATCGTTGCCTAGTAGGCTAGAAGGGAATGCAAAAGAAAAAGCTGGCGGGAGGAAAAGGTACTAACGGCTAATAGGAAGAGATAATCTCTTATTATTTCCTTGTTGTATATAAGAAGGGTGCGTGAATCTCTCTTTGGGATTGCTCTTTGATCTTGTACCAGCTTCTAGTGACTTGTTAGAGCTTGAATAGGAGGATGGACCCATATTTTCTTTAGAATTTGGTTTGATGATCTGAACAGATTTTTTCACCTGGTTCTTGGTGCCATTATTTGGATCTGCAGGTTTGTTATCACGCAAAGTTGCTCCATCTCTGTGATTAGTGTCTTGAACCCGATTTTCCCAGGGCCGCACAGCCATCCATCTCTCCAACCAATTCAAGCCCCAGTCACTACTAGTGTCCCGTTCAACACCAGCTGGTTGCTGCTTAGGTCTTGCCTGCCACTGTAATCATTGTCACAGCAAACATATGTTTTTGAGATAGAGAAATAAAAAAATGTAGGCAATCTAACCAAAGTAATAGTGTATTCAGCTTTTATATGCCCAAATTTTTATATGCTACGGAGTATAATTCAAATAAATAAGCTGTGGGACGCTTTAATCATTATTACTACGTATTAATTTATACATTTTTTAATTACAATTTTGATCACAACTCTAATTTTACTAATATTTTTAGTAATAGAAACAGTAGAAATATAAGATGTCTTCAAGGCCTTTGCACTTATCAATGGAAGAGAAGATAAAACATTTGAAAAATATGATCCAGCATTACTAAAAGTGATATGGAATATCGACCTGATGAGCCATAGCATATGCTATTGCCCTTTCACGCTTTGCTGCTGCCTCATGCCTCTTTAACAACTTGGCTTGAATTTCTTCCACAGACCCAATACTGTCACACCAACCTTCCTGTGATTTGAGACAGACTTCAAGAGTTAAAAGATAACTGAAGGTGATAGATACCCCATGTTAAACTAACACTATCATATTTGCGACATTAATCAATATAAAAATGTTTACTTCTATTTCCCGAACACTAGCATCGTGTTGCTTTAGATCTTCTTGGTGCAGCTTAGGTGGCACCTCTTGACTTTCTAAGGCCTCACGAACACGCCGTGCCCGAACACGTGCCTGGACCCTAACAAGAGCTTGCATACAATGGAGGGCAATATCAGCTTGTTTTCTCACAGCATGGCCTCTAGCAAGTGCTTGAAGTCTCACCAACCCCTTCAAAGCTCGTAGAGCTCTCCTAGCCTTGAAGTTACCATGTTTAAAAATCACCCAATGGCCCAAATTTTTCAAAAGTAAATTTATGATTTGAGATTCAAATAAATTTCATATTTTGTTGATGACTTGATGCCCAATTTAGTCACTCCACTATACACGATCCACTATTGGACTCAAATTGGGCCTCAACCATAACATCTTGACGCAACTTAATTCTCATACATATTTAGTTCTAAATAAGAAGGGTAATTTGTCCCTTTGCTTAAGTTAATCCCATTTTGTGATCAATTTGGCTCTTGATTATGTAATTTGGACCCAGTTTAGTCTTCAACAGAATAACATGTTCTTATTAACTTATTAGAATATTGTATAGTCGAGAGACCATATCTATGTTCAATTAATGAGAAGAAATGTTTGTAAAATGAGCTAGTATCAACCAAAAAGAGTAAAGAGTAAACTAGCTAATAGCCAATTGAGTACCAGAAATCCTCTAAAAGCAGTTTGAATACGAATGGCTGCCCGCCATTCTTGTCTAATATTCAGAGGAACTTGACTTGCATTCTGATTTTGATGTGAGGTCGAAGGTGAAGAAGCAATAGGAACTGAAGCAACATTCACATCTTCAACTGACGCAGAAGCACTATCATTATTATGGCTCAGATCGTTGCAAAGTAGTTCTCTATCGATCTCAACAGCAGAATGCTTTCTCCTATGCCCAGGCTTTTTCGTGCCCCCAGACTTCTACAATTAATAATGTAATAATTATAGTCATTTTGGTTTCTTGAACACTAAAAGCACTACCAAAAAAGTATTACTCACACTTTCATCTTTCTCATAGGAAATTGACTTTTCGGATCTTTTGAAACCGATTAGTGCTCTGATCCATTTCACTGAGACTCCCATGACAATAGCTGCTTCAGTTATTAGACCAAGTTAACGCCTGGAAAAGATAAACATCAAGAATGATCAAACAAGCGAAACATGAAATGCTACTATGTTCCTCAAGCCCAGTGATCCCCATAACTAAAACCTCCTCAAATGTATTGAATACATATGGTTAAGTCATTCCACACCGACCAAATATAGATCATAGATGCAAACTCAACGGTTTGGCCTACTCTTCCTACATGGTTAATAAAAGTATTCTAACTTGCAGGCTCGTTTATGATTTTCAGTAAAGTTTCGAACTTTAACCAGAATGGCTCACAATCCTGAAAATAGATGCTTAATATTAAGTGCCAGTTTAAAATCCCAATTTCCCACCACATTATTGACCTCACATTTGTTATCACTCAATCCGCCCACTAAATTGGCCACTAAGAGTCTAAGCTCTGATCGAAAGATAAACAACACATGTACAACAGCGCAAGCACTGATCACATCAATAGCTATCTCAAATAATATCAGGGGAAAAAGTTTGAAAAAATACTGCTTGAAAAGAAACAAGGTGAATTCTTCATTGATAGCAATAAAGTACCTGTCAACGACTCAGAGCTGCATTCTTCATTGCAGCGAGCTCTGAACAATCAGATAGATCTGTAGGAGTTTTTGGGAGTGGGATTGAGGAAACTGTAAAAAACGGTGCTTCGCAGCGGTTAAGAAAGGTCGGTTTTGATGAGCACGAGGCAAACGGAGGAGAGGAGTCAATCACGGGATTTGGATTTCTTCCGCGTCCTAATCCTACCCTCCCCACCCCCACAACCCAACCGACATTTCGTGGAAAACATACTTTGTAATATTCCCTAATGCTGTCAAAATTACAGTAATTTATGGGTTGGAGTTTGATTTCTAGGATTTCGGTTTTTGGGAAAATGCATATAATACTCCGTAGGATATAGGTTAGGAGTAGCTAATGATTGGGTTCTTGTTTCTTTTGCTCGTTAAATGTGGTTTGATCTTTTTAGTGGAAAATTCACTGCCTAAGTGCCTAACATCATTTTTTCCCCATCAAATATTGTTTTAAATATTTCTGCACATATTAAAAAATATACCGTACTCCGTATGAAACACGGAGTAAGTTAAAAGTAGTGTAGTACGGAATATTCCGTATCATATAACCAGAGCATGTATTATTGTCCGAAAGTGTTACACTTTCCTCGCCCTAAACAATTTTTTTATCACCCCTAAATAATCGGGTATTTTAATATGTAGCTACATGTGCTTATCAAAGTTATATTATTTTCTAATATTAATTTGAGTTTCAATCTTATACTTATAGTTTAATGTTGAAGTTAATTCCTTCAATTCCAGGGATCAACAGGTTCCATTGAGTTTCAATGGGTATTTGGTGTGTTATGTGAGTATGAAGGTACATGTATTTAGCAATAAGAGGAAGACAATAAGTGGACCAAGTTCTTATCTTAAAAAACTATAAGCACCAATGACGGTAAGGTTGCATTAGGAATGAAAAAAATGTTAGTGTAATAAAGAAGCAATAAAAGTTTGTTCAATATGCATAATAAGTTGTACATTTTGAATTGATTGACCTTTATAACCCACTTCTTCCGTTTCTTTCCATTAAGTTGAAAACAAATCCAATCATTTCCATTGCCTTTGTGGCTTTGTAACTCTTTAGGAGTTTAATCTCAACTCTAAAAACATTTATTTTGGTTATTAATAAACAATATTTTTCCTCTTTCCAATAAAAAGAATATTCTATGGGAATCAGTCAATTAGGCCGCAGGTCTCATACTCATCCTCTCAAACATATACGGTGCTCCAAAGGCCATTTTACAAATTGCAGGTAGGACTCCAATATAGCACGAAATGCATTTTGACCATTATTATACCGTACGCGTAGGGTAATTGTTAGTTCTTAATGACTGAAAAGATTTAAAAAGAAAAGATTATTAGCTATTTGATAATAAAAGTTGACTGTTTGATTTAATTATATTTAGGGTTACAAGTTGTTCTGACTAATTAATGTTTAAAACTACAGACTTTTCTCAAATGTTAATCAGTGTATTCTTTCAAAAAAAGATTTTTTATTCTGATGATAAAAACTCTTAAAAATTACCCTGTCAAATATACAACTAGAAACTTTTCAAAACATTGTAAATAGTAGAAAAGCTAGAAGGTATGACTTATTCCTACTAAACATATATGCTCGTAGTCTAACAACATTATAATTGTGAATAAGGGTTGGTACCCTTGATTTATGTCAATACATTCTATGCATAACAACTTGTACATTGTTGTTGAAAAACAGTACCTTACTTTTCACGTTACTTGTTTAGCCTTTATACGCCGTTAACTATTTTTCTTCCGTCAATTATTTTGATTCGCCTTCGAAAAGGACCATAAAACCGTACTTAGGGCAGAGCAACAGTTTTCACTTTTGAATTGTCGTGCTAACGTGTACCTTCCGATGGTGGCTGCCTGGAAAAAACTCATCCTTTGGAGAAAAAACTCAATTAAGTTCCGATTAACTTCAATTTTTCCAAAGAGATTCCTTTGGAAAAAACTCATCCTTCTGATTCCTTTGTCCCGATTAACTTCAATAACGTAGATTGCTTGTATGGTAGATAAGTTGTGCCACCAATGGGCATCACAATAGTACTTTAGATTATAGCAAGAAAAATTATGATGGGTACTTTTGGGTTAGTTTTTGGATATTTGTTATTTTGATTGGAATTACTGCATGATCAGTGAATAGAGTTAAGATTATATGGAGTATGAAACTTCTCCCTTTTGTAGTTCCGACCCAGTTAACTTTGTTATACTTTTCAATTGCTTTAGTTTTTTTTTTTTTGTTTTTAGATTAACTTTGCATCAGATTATAATGCAACGTGTGCTTGTAGTTACTTCCATTTTTAAGAGTTGTGATTTGATTCATGATTTGTGTTGATTCCAATTGGTCATGTATTGCTTGCTGTGATTCTATGAACTAGATTGTGGAACACTTTAAATAAAAAAAAAATTAAGCTTTTCAAATTCACCCAGTGAACAAGTTAAAGTGATCAAGGACACCACAATCACAAATTCACTACAACTTTCACTACAACTATTTCATATACTAAAAAAAGTAGATAATTTTAGAACCACATAATTTTAAAATATGTAATTTCACAATATACAAAAGATATTAAAAAATCATACACTATTTCAAACTCTTACGTAGTATTATAACATGAACCCTTATACATAGGTAAAATAATTATATACAAAAAAAAACTTTAATATTGGGCAAAACTGTCGCGCCTTGCGCGACAAAACGCTAGTATATATTAATATTTCCGACTGATAATGGCTTTTAAACTGTACCGATAAAACTTGTACTCTGGTCTAGTCTGGTGATGTTTGACTTATGTGTATTTTATAACTATTGAAGCTCGATCTGATCTGGTCTGTTTAAGTCTGAAGTGGTCTAATTAAATTTGATCTGGTCTATTTTGGTTAGGGACTGCAATCAGTCCCAATAAAAACATTCTTATTTATCAAAAGTTATACGATTTTTGGTAGATCTTTTTCACTTTTCTTTTTCACAATTATATTTATGGTCATCAACACTTAAACGACCTACTAAAAACTACAAGAAATGTCTAACCCAATAGTATGTTGGGTGAAAATGGATTGGGTTGTGTACTTCTCTCTTCAAGGCAACTAGACCTAAATCTGATTTGGTAGTAGAACTCTTTAGGACATATGCCTAATAAACATGCTTGTAGTATATATTAATATTTCCGGCTGATAATGGCTTTTAAACTATTCCCATAAAACATAGATCATTTCTAGGCTATTAAGATGTACTCCGTATTTAACTGGATTGTGATTTTCTGGCCTGATTTGGTTTGATCTGGTATGACCGGGTTTGTTTAGGTCTGGTCTAGACTGGTGATGTCTGCCCTATCTTATTTTATAACTATTGAAGCCTGGTATGATCAGGGTTGGTCTTAAATATGGATTGGTCTAATTAAACTTGATCTGGTCTATTTTGGTCTGGTTTGGGACTGCAATCAGTCTTAACAAAAACATCCTTATTTATCAAAAAAATTATCATACATTTTTACGATTTTGGAAGATCTTTTTCACTTTCCTTGGGCCACAATTGCTCCCATGTTTTCTCCCGAGTTAATTAGCAAATCAAATATTAGAAAAGTGGACCACAATCGTTGTCATTCTAGGATGTATATCATATCATTTGGAAGAGTGAATGGTCTTGCTGGATTCAAAATTATATTGTCAATGATATTGGGCACTATCCCACACGCGCAACGCGCGTTGAAAAACTAGTTAGACAATAACGAACAATTGCAGCACACCGTTCTAACAATCGAGGCCAAATGTCTGATCTGAGCTATGAGTACAAAGAATAGAGGCTAATGAAATATATGCTGATATTTGTACTATCATGTGGTAAGTAGTAGCGTGATATGGAAGATCATGAGTGGCTATCATTCCAACCACCAAATCTTGCATATCTGGTGCATTTAATGCGTTTTCCTCCAATATTCTTGTTTTTCCGCCAAATATTTTGGGCATTCCTATTTGAGGCCTCCATGATCCCTGAGCCAAGTAAGGGCAAGGCAAGGAAGCCGCTCGGCGCTTGCCGAGCGTCCCACATGAGGCCTCTGTTGACTACCTAGCCCAAACGAACTAAGGTATAGGGGACGAGCGTTGCGTGAGGCTCGACGAGCGTCACATGAGCTTCTGATGGGCCGCTACCCTTGATCCCTTTTTCCTTGTGGGGTATTGGGCCGAACCCGTATGGGGCCATTTACCCCAACACAAGCCCTCTACTTCTAATGTTACGAGCATGACCAGGACATAAGGAAGTATATATGAGAGCTTATCTCACACCGGGCGACTTGTGGTGGTTTGCAAGGTGAAGGTTCTTTGTGCGAACTTGCACCACACCTTGTACTGTACATCCTTCCCAACTTTCGGCCATCTTGCCTCCTTCGAGGGGCTTGCTCTTTTCCTTTTTCCTCAGCATCAAGTCCCCCACTTTGAGGGCTCGTACTTTCACTGGCTTATCGAAGTAGCGTTGAGTGGCCCAATGATATTCTTCCATGCATCAATCAGCTAAATCCTTACGCTCCTTGATGAAATGTAACTCGACACACATGGTTTCCTCATTGTGCTCGGGCTGGTAAAGCACCACCATATGTGTAGGCACCAACACTTCATCAGGAACTTTGGCCTGGAAACCGTATGCCAGAGCGAACAACCTTTTCTCGGTGGCTGTTTTCGGGGTCGTCGTTACTTCCACAAGATGTAATTCAATTGACCCGACCAGGTGGAGGAATAATCATCGAGTTTCTTCTTGACTCCATCCGCGATGGTCCCGTTCATGTTTTCCACCTATCAGTTGGCCTGAGGGTAGGCCACTGAGGCTTTGGAATGCCGGATGTGTGACACCGCACCCGGTCGTACCTGGAAATTTCATTTAAAAAAACGAATAATACAAATCATGTATTGAATTTCCTATTGTCAAACAATTGTAAAACGATTAATGTTCTACGTAGTACATGATTGATTATTGTACTGGTTGAACTCGTATATTAGTGATGGGCTCGCAAATACTTATTTGGGCCTTCTTAATAAATATAAGAGCCCAACATTATCTAAATAATGATACATAACCTTTCAAGCCAAGTTGAGAAAGGTTGGGCAGCCCAAACGTTATTTTGGGGCCAACCTACTAAAAATACTAAGTATTCAAGAATGGCGTCCTAGGCCCACTCGAGGGTGACCCACACGCCTTGTAGCCCAAGAATATAAATACTAATGTCAT